TCTCGATCTCTGTTCTATTCTCTCATATGGTTTTCGTTTCTTTGTCTTCCCATTTTAGCTGCCTTTCTGTGTCTGTTTCTATGTGGTAAGCAAAGCTCCTAAGTCTCCCGGTCTTATTAGTTTGGATTTGTGAAGTAGGTTTCTAGTGACACAGTCCTGAGAGGGGTTCAGCTGCAGGCCAAATTTAGCCCAAGCCTCTACCCCTCCGGGGCCACCTGCCAAGATTCAGCAAGCAATCCACAGATGCTGTGCTTATAGTTGCCTCAAAAGGCTACACCAGAAACCGAGGCCAGCTGCCTCCAGTGTGAGTCTCAGCAAAGAGCACCTGACTCACTGAGGTTACACCTAGATGTGGCTTGGGTGAGGCCGTGAGTTGGGGTAGGCGGGGTTTCAGGGAATCCTCTGGGTGGAGCAACCTTTGTTATCTAGTTTGATGCGTCTCAGTTATGGCGGTACTGTGTCCATGCACTGGGAGCGGGGAGGGCTCAACAGGGAACAATGGATACCGCCGGCACTTCTACCGAGCCAGTCTCAGCTCGGCTCTCACTCCAACAATGTCTCCTTGTAAGTCCTTGGTGCCCCCTGCATGCAGCAGAATCGGCACTGGTGCTCAGAGCAAGCAGGTCCGTTATCTCTAAAATCCGCTTGCGGACTCAGCCCTTTTAAGAGGCATCTGCCGCTCCATCTCACTCAGCCTCTGGAGACCAGGCAGCCCCATGTCCTCGCCTGGTCCTACCTTCTGCCTTTGCAGGGTGATTTCTTGGATTTCTCCCTAGTTGTATGGTTTGTTATCCCAGGTGATTTTTCCTTGCTGCTGCTCCTTGTTTCTGTCATAACTTTGATTTGGTCGCCAGAGGGATGAACAGAGCCTCTATCATCTACGTCATTTTTTTTCCTCCTCTAACTACTTTGCTTTTTACAGAGTATGGAATTTTAATATTACAGATTATTTTTACATACACTAATTATTCGATTCTCAATTGAATTCTTTATAACTCTATAAAGAGAAACAGAAAGAGAAATAAAGGCCCACGGTGGTTAGGGAATATGACCAAGGTTGTACACTCATGGATCTTGATTTTAGAAACCAGCTTTCCAAAAGGTCAAGAACCAGGTATTATACCTCTGTGTCAATGCTAGACTAATGCTCCGTAGATGTAAATCCATCTGAAACTCATATTAGTTTCTGAAGGAGAATAGAGAGTGGAGCCGAAATCTCCCCAAATTTGACATGATAATTAAACTTATGAATCCAAGGTGCTGAACGAACTATTGATACATGCACCAACCTCCAGAGAAGTATGCTGAATGAAAAAAGCCAACCCCAAAAGGTTACGTACTATATGATTTCATTTATGTAGCATTCTTAAAATGATAAAATTATTAAATGGAGCACATATTAATGGTTGTCACATTAGTGGTTGTCAGGAGTTAAGGAAGGGGTGGGAGTAGGAGGGAAGTAGTTGTGATTATAACAAGGCACTATCAAGGATCCCCGAGTAATAGAGATGTTCTGTATCTTGACTGTATCACTGTCAATATCATAGTTGATCAATCAAATCCTAGCTCACTTGAAAACACTAAGAGAGAAATGAACATTTATTTCTGTATGCCACTGAGATGTTTGTGATTGTTATGCAGCATAGCTGACGGACATAGAGTGGAAAATAGATTCTAGAGGGGCATCAATGTGTGTAGATAGGGAGTGAAGTTTCCCAAAAGTGGGTGGCAATTTGCACTGTTGGGGATTGAAGAAAAGGCTATTCCAGCAAAGAGGACTCTGGAGAGCAATGAAACAAGATAAGAAATGAGAACACTTGTAATGAGAACCTCCCTCTAAGAAAAGTTCAACTTCCTTGGTATTTTTCTCTGGGACTATAGAAAAAATAATAATCAGAGGAATGTTTAACTCTTTCTTCTCTTTCTACATTTTTTTTTAATTTGTAAAATATACATAACATCAAATTTACAATTTTAAACATGTTTAAGCATACGATTCAGTGGCATTAAGTACATTTACATGTTGCACAGCTATCACCACTATCCATCTCCAGAACTTTTTCAGCATCACAGCAAAAACTCTGTCCCCATTAAACATTAACTACCCATTGAACACCCTGCCCCTCAGCCCCTGATGACCTCTATTTTGCTTTCTGACTCTATGGACTTGCCTATGCTATGTAGTTCATATAAGTGGAATCATACAATCTTTATTCGTTTGGGTCTGGCTTATTTCACATCCATGTTGTTGCATTTATCAGAATTTCATCCCTTTTTAAGGTTGAGTAATATTCCATTGCATGTACATATGACATTTTGTTCATCCATTCATCTGCCGATGGACACCTGGATTGTTTCCACCTATTGCCTCTTGCAAGTAATGCTGCTATAAACATGGGTGTATAAATTTCTCTTTGAGTCCCTACTTTTTATTGTTTTGTGTATATACCTAGAAGTGAAATTGCTGGATCATATTGTAATACTATGTTTACTTTTCCAAGGAACCCAGACTATTGTCCACAGTAACTACACCACTTTACATTCCCATCAGCAATACACAAAGGTTCCAAATTTCTTCACATCTTCATCGATCCTTGTTATTTTTCTGTGTTAATAATAGCCATCCTAATGAGTATGAGGTGGATCATCCCACATTTCTTTAATCCTTAATCTTTCCATTAAAATTTAATAAACCAAGATAATTTTGTGTGGTAGTGGTATGCCAACAAAAGAAGTGTGGGACAGCGACAGTATTCTGTGGAAAGGACTGAGTCCATGGCTTCTGGATGGTGACCAGCAGTGAAGGAGGCGGGCCCCCAGGGTTGCTGGGAGTGGCTGGGGAGATTGCGTGCGTGTTCAATGGAGCAACCATTTGGTAGGCAAATGCATGGAAAACAAGCCCCTTTATTATCTAAATTAACCTTGAGAAAGG